AAGGTTGCTCCTCAAATCATGGCTGGAATATCGAAAGTGTATATTGATAATAGGTCTGCGGATATAAGCAGACGCATACTTCTCCCTCGCAATGAACATAGAGAGGAATAGACCGAGATAGAAAGGCACAAATGGGCAAAAGAATAGGCAATGAGAACACCGTTGCCAAGTGTGTAACTCCGAAGCATCACATTAAGCCCCATGAGGTATCATGAGAGCGAGGTCTCATCAGAACTGAGATCTAATGCTGCCATGTTGACTGCATGAACGGAAATCCAGAAGTACCCAAATGGGACTAGGCGGTAGTAAACCTCATCGGGAGTAGAACAGGTCGGAAATAGGTCATGCGAAGAACATCAGCAGTGCCACACAGCAGTAGTTGGGGCTGGAGCTGGAGCAGCGGGTGGTGGGGAGTGTGCAACCAAGAGGGTGCCTTGTAAGGAAACTTGGGAACCCCCGATGTTCACTGGTGAATGAGCACTGGTGCCCTTTGGAGAACCTTCCCAAAGTTGCGACAGTATTTAGGAACCACCTTCCCATCAACAAAAATGGTGTGTTGGGCAATCATGGGAATGTTCTCCTTGGAGGATGGAAGCAAGTTGTCTTTAATAAGAGTGTGAGTTGGGAGTTTGGTTTCAGCACTCACGCTTTGGGAGCACCTCGCTTGGACATGGTGGATCTTTCTATGATGATCAGTAGCTTCACAATCAAAGCAGCGCCTCCACGAGAGCAGGGTACCGCACTGGCTGGTCCACTGTTTCGATCTGAGTGAGACTCCCAAATTTGCCTCAATGCTTTGTCAATTGCTGCATGGAAGGCTTTGGCTGGGAGTCTTGGATCCATTGTGTTGGGCAGGCTCATTTGTTTTCTGGTTGATGAGGGCCCGATAAGGGCATCCAAGTCATTCAAAGTGTCGATGCTTCCAATTGTTAATTCCCATAGTTGCTATCAAATCTGTTGATGTCACTCTTGACAATAGCTCTGGACTTTGGATCGAAAGAATGAAAACCACAGCCAAGGAGACCCTCAAAGATGGTGTGGTTAGTTCGAGCATGGGATCTGGACATAAGTTTGAGAATACGAATCTCTATTGAAGTCGATTGCTTAGCATCGACGAAAAATACATGGAGGAGAATTCATCCAGGGAACTATGCGGTGATGTCCAGTGAGAGTAGTTGCGTGGTTGAGGGATTTCAATCTTATGAGAGAAGGTCGTTATATCTTCTGCGAAGAAGCCAAGAGAAGATTGGGGCCAATTGTGTTTGGACTCTAGGAACAATATTGATTTCAATATCTTCTGGGTGCATCAGGCAGAGATTAAGACAGACTTTCAGAGCCAGACCAGCAGGTTGGTTAAAGATTCATATGGTAAACAGGATGTTGCTGCAAATCCCGCATCTGGGCATCATGAGTCTGAGCCCAATTGACTGCGTGAGGTCCTAGATGCCCTTTTCGCATCTGATATGATTTTGAAACCATGTCCAGGAGCAACGTGAACTGTTGATTTATTAAATAGTGTTCAGTTATTAAGATCTCCAACAAAAGCTGAAAGACCCTTCCACTCCACTCTGTATCATCTTCAAAGTGCCGAAGAGGCTAACATGGATCCAGAGCATTTGGACTCGTCAAGTGAGAAAGGTGGACTTGAGATCCTTTATCTCTTTCTTGCATGCCAACTCGATAGGCTGGAGTGTGGGTTGTGTTTCAGATGGTCGTCACCATGGAAACCCTTAGGCATAGGGTGCTTTGAGGTTCCTTTCCCAGTCCATCTGAGCCAGTCCTGTCCAGGCTCCAGTGTGGTTTATACCTCCAAGTCGAGGGCTTCTGTAAGCTTGTCTTTCTTTGGTTTTCCCAATGTGCTGGAGGAGCTCCTGGAACTGAACTGCGGTCAATGGTGCGTAGTCATGGTTGGAGGATCAGATGGTGGGATGATTGGATCAGATTCAAAGAAAGGCTTGTCTGAAGCCTTGTGGACTGAACAAGGATGCTGGTGCTGGCGCTGCTGTTGAAGATGAAGATGCTGAGGCAGAGGAAGCGTCGTCAAGGTCCATTAATAGCTGATGGAATAATAGGCAGTGAAAATCAACAAGGTCAACAGTGCAGCAATGGCAACAAAAGCAATGGTAACAAGAGGAGGCCGGTGGATATCCAGTCAATCGAGTCAATCGAAGATGGAATTTGTGAGCTTTGTCCTTGTTATCCCGCGAACGACCTGCGAGGAGCGAATCCTTCGTTGGATCCGTCGAACTTGGCAAAAACAAACGACCAACTGCAAGCCAGCGACCTGAACGACCGATGCCAGTTCTAGGTAGCAAGATACCAATGACAACTGCCGATCGATCGCTCGTGTTGTTGTTGCTACGTCCATCGCGAACACCAACTGCCGATCGATCGCTCGTGTTGTTGTTGTTGTTCACGTACATTCGATTTGAAACGAAAAAGTGAGGAGTTTGCGATGAAGCATGACTCAATGCATGACTCAGCCGGTTCGAACGGATAATAGAGAGGGAAATGGTCCTCGAAGCATGACTCAAGGCATGACACACAGGCCGAGCCTCATATATGCAGTCAGCGTTCATTTTTCGATGAATTCTGTTAACTCGATCGCGACCTCTGTTGTCGCGACCGATGAGATTACGATCGTCAATAGGATTAAGAAAGGTGGACTCCCATAGGAGTCCATATATAGGATCCTCATCGCAATTTCGATTGACGACAGGATGGTCCACATTGAGATTACGATCGTCAATAGGAGTAAGAACAAGGGGATTGCTTTCGAGCGAATCCAAGGGAAGTGAGTTGCAATAAAGGGAAGGACTACCGATGAAGAATGCAAGAGGAAACTCATCAGGAGCAATCTGCATCAAGGAGTAGCACATTCCATTGACAACCATAGGGGATAGACATATAAGAAATAGAATGAGTAACATCTCATAACCTCGCATGCTACCATGCGACAATACCATTATGCATTGATTAATCTAACGATCTAAGAGATGTAAAGTTTGTATTTCCAAATAAGTGAGCAGTTATTGATTATTTTCTAGAATAAGCCTGCTAGTTGTAAAGCTGTAAAGCTGAATTGTAAGCTGTATCCCGTCGCACAAGGGACGAGGAGGAACCAATGAACACTCAGTAAACGATACTGGAGTAGTGGATTGGAACCAACCAGCATGATTCTTCCTCAGGAGTACTTCTGCGAAGGCCCACACCACAGAAGAAGGCATTCACCAGCAGATAAATTTGTTTGGGAAGAGGTGCTTGTGTGGGAGTTCCTACTGTAGCCTCCGAGTCGATATCAATATCAGAGCCATCGAAATAAATAGGCTCCTAGCTAGAGAGCGGAGACATGTAAGCAACTCACACGAATATCAGGTCAACTACTCGATGACAGGGGGGGGCTGCAACAAAGCTGCAATACAAGGACTTGCCCTTTGAACAGTAGGCAACATGTCAAACAATAGTGAAAGCCAATAAATAGAACAGAAGGAGTTGATGCCGTGGGCAAAGCAGCGGCTTCTCCTCCTCTTTTCTGTCTCCTTGCTTCCGATACTTGCACTTGGCTGTCCTTGGTGGTGCCACTCAGTTCATTCTTCATGCCGGCATGTTCACTGATCCACAACTGGAGAGGGATAGTTTTGTTCTCTTGCTTACTCGTCCAATTCCCGTTCTTTTTGGAGGACCCAGAATCATATTGCTTCTGAACTATGGTATTAGAGAAGAGATCCCTGACTTGGTTTCCTTGGCAGGGAAGTCCCACAGATGTGCCTCGTCCAATGAATCCACACTTTCACAGTTCTGGTACGGAGGAATAAGCTCGAATATTCCTAAAAATTCACTCCTTCTGTCGACAGATGAATCTCCATCATTTTTCAACCAAATTGACTTCCTTTTGTTAGTATAGAGAGCTTCAAGACTCCTCTAAACCCTCCTGATAGCCACTTTGAACCTGCCGCTCATTCATGGCGTCGGCCGATGAAGATAGAAGGCAGTAGCGAGTTGTGGTGTGTTGGTCGCACCTTCCATTTTCACTTGCCTGCCTGTTGGGTCTAATTCCTCTCCACTGGGAACTCTTCCGTCAAATGTTACTCGCTACTCGTTGTTTCGTGCTTTGGTTGATTCCTTGCTAGTAATTCCTTCGCCATCATCACCAGCCTCGATGGGCGATTGGGTGGCATGTTAGAATTTTTCCACAAAAACTAATTCAACCGTGGCTCCCCCCTGGCTGTAGACGGCCCCTGATGCTTCAGTCTTGAATGCCAACTGTTGCTAGTAGAAGTAGAGAAGGGATTCCAAGGCTTGGTTGCCTTGGCAGAGACCTTGTTTGTTGCACCCAAGACCACAGTTGACATGGCAAAAATGGAGCCAAATTCCACTCAATCTCGAGTTAGCTTTTGACTCTCTCTGGCTGTACAAGCCTTCTGCTGCTCCAGTCTTCAGCTGCAGGTGTCTCCTGTGATAGTAAGGGTCACAACAGTATGCTGGTTGTATTGGTAGGTTGGCTATATCAGATACAACAGGGAAGATTTTGTATTGAAGGCCATTGGCTGTCTTTTTTAGTGTGGCGATTTTTTTCTTTTTTTCTTTTTAGTTGGCAAAGCTTATGGACAATCCTGACGCAAACAACTGTAGTTATTATAACTATACTAGCTAGTAAAGGCAGATTTATTCGTCCCGAGATCGTCTTCTAAAGAAAGAATTCCCTTTAAATAAAATTTTCGTTTTCTAGTCATTTTACGGTGCTTATTTCATCGATCTCGCTAAAAGTAGAGACACTTTCTTGGATCTCGCTGTTTAAAATTTGGGACTACAGTACACCGGTACTCCGAGTAAACGATTTATTGCGTTTGCCCAGGTTCACCTGTCAAAGCCAAGTCACCAAACTACTTTGAAACCATTTGCTCGAAACAACCCACACCCATCCAACAACGCCTCCATTGTCCGTGTTGCTGCAGACACTTAAAGAGGCTGCAAGACAAAGAGGCAAAAAGGCAAGAAGAATGGACGATCTCTCGGCTCGAAATCGGGATGGCCAGCAGCTGTTGGAAACTGGCCAGGAGCAAGAGGAAGAAGAAGACCTTGGAGTTGCTGTTGTTCAACATGTCGGACCCAACGACGTTCATGAGGCAGATGGAGGAAACGACGAGGAAGCAAGTAGCCACAATGAAAGAGAAGAAGGAACTGGCCAGGATCAAGAGGCAGAAGAAGACCCTGGAGTTGCCGTTGTTCAACATGGCGGACACAACGACGTGCATGCGGCAGAGGCAGGAAACGACGAGGAAGCAAGTGACCACAATGATAGAGAAGAAGATCATGACCCACCACTAGCACCTCAAGTGATTTTTCAATCTAACCCAAGGTTCATGGAGATTTCCCACCAAGAACGGGAATGGGCGTTGCAGATAAAACAGGCAGTGGAGGCCACTCCCGAATTTGACAATTTGAATGACATGATGTATGCCCATCTAGCTATTTACTCCATGGGAAACATGGAACGTGCAATGGACCGGGTAATGAAGTTGCAGGCTCTCAAGGAGGAATACGGAATTCTTGACACCATAGAGCAGGCCAGACGAAGTATTGGAATTTGTGCGGAAGATTATTTTCCAGGATTCCTCCTGCACTTTGGCTTGGATGAACAAATGGAAACTTCGATGATTGTCTACGACTTTGCTAAAGGTGACAAACAAGTCTTTCGGTGTCGAGATAAGGTCGGCAATTGTATCTGTTGTGGATACTATGTCTCCCATGCAAAATTCTCCAATCTGCAATTTGTCCGTAAGGGCAACATTCATATTATGGAGTGTTCTGGTATGTCAGTGCATGAATCTGTAGTGCCTGAGTTGAATCACAATTGGTTACCACAGCCTGTACATGTACAGCATGTAGCTCACCCCTGACGGATTTGCTTGCTTCATAGGGTATGACTTTTCCTTGAACATGTTTGACATCCAGATAATGAAAAAGCTGACTATTGAAGTATGTGGCTCATACCCATCCACCTTCCTCCAGTGTTTCTTGTATCATACGCCACTGGCATTCAATGTACTGGCATCCATGATCAGACGATCGCTCCCAGACAACCTCAAATCCAAGTTCAATGTGGGGTACACTTTTTCAGGTCGCCTGGATGAATTCTATGGGCTTCCAACACCAGAGGCTGCTTCTCGGCGAGCTGTGGATAATTTGTGTGAAGCTCTCCAAGTTCGATATGAAAATGAAAGGACCTTCTCACTTTGAGAATGAGTGGAATTGGTATTGATGATTCGAACGCAGGGTAGTATGCATAAGCAGTCACTCTTTGCTGAAATCATAGGAAAGAGCATGGTCACTGCCAGAGTGTACCTGTAGCATGTACCTGGTACCCGGTTGTTTCTGTCGTGCAGGCTGCTCTTCCGTGCCGTCCTTCTTGAAGCTAAAACGCAATTGATTGGATTTGTGTTGGTTTATGTCGTTGTTGATTAGACAAGAGGAACAACGGTTGGAACAATGAGTGCTAGAGGGGTTAAGCAATCAGCACTACGAGCATTGGTTACTCTGGACTTAGAGCAATATGACATGGATCCAACAAACTACTGTCATCTTTCATGTATTACAGTTACGATCATGTTTCAGAACGCAGGCTGCGATTCCTGGTCCGTGGCCACTTGGCAGCTCCTCAGAGCTTTGGTTTCTTTGCCGTGGGACCTTGGACAGCCAACTTTCCACCATTGACGGCTGCGAGACGCTTGGCACATTGGCTGTTTGGGTTGCTGGAGGGAAGAGTCGTCTTTGGTAGCTCCGCCTCGTTGGCATTTGTCCACAGAGCAGGGTTCTCGCGAAGCATTGCATAATGGAACGTCGAGGGGACGTCCTCCTGCCTCGTTAGCGAAATCAAAAAGCGCACAAATGATGCTTTGGAACTGCTAGCTTTTCCCCGCCCAAACAAGTTGAGATGTGTCCAGCAATCAATCTCGTGGAGCAACTTTCGTTGCACTGTCCTGTGTGATCGCGTCTCCTTGGCAAAGCTGGTCAATCGTGTGTTCCGACCCGACCGCAGCAAGTTTAGGATGCATACACAACAGTCACCAAAAACAACATCCAGGGTTTGAAGACTCTCATTGTTTTCCAATTGTTTGCAGATCGGATCGATGCGGATTGCTTGGCAATCGCCGGAAAGCGACAAGTGTTGGAGTCGCCTTGGTTCTGACAAGAGTCTCACGACGTCGTCGGTGACATCCTCTGGCTCGTCATCGCCTATAAAAATGCGGGAGTATCTGAATTGGAATTGAAGAGTCAAGCTTTGCAGGTTTGCTGCATGACTTTTTGGGGTAAGGAATAGGCGGGAAACACTTAAGGGGACTGGGGCCGCACTCTTCAGATTTTCCACCCCAGAGCTCGCCCATTCCTCTGCTCCTACCTCCTCGATGACATCGTAACAGTTGCTGCGGTCAGTGAAGTTTTGAATGATAACCGTCTTGGCTGCATTATTTGGAAGCTTTAGCAATTCCAAAATGAACCGAGAGGAGAGAATTCTGTTCCCCTGAAAACGACCGTCCAGGACTATTCGTTGCAACGGATCCCTCCGACGTGCGAGGGATCTCACGAAACACATCATTTCAAACTCAACAAGTCCATCGGAGCCAAGCATGGAACGCGGACCGCGTTGGAAATTGATGGTCAAATCTTCGAGAGGTCGACACCTCTTTCCTGTCAAAAGCTCAAACCAGCCCCCGAATGCTGAAAGGGATTTCTTCTCTATGCATATCGCTGGAATCGTCAAGGATACTCGCTTCAAATTGACACCCAGTGTGGCAACGGAACGAACCAAATCGAGAAACACTTGGGGTCTGTAGTAACAAGTTCTGTCAGCCTCTCGTTCGATCTCAGGGTAACAAGTTATTTCAGCCGTGTCAGTCATGGGACATAAGCAGGAAAATGATTCCAGGGTTGGCAGAACCGCTGCCGCTCCCTTGACTTGGTTTCCTGTAAGCTGAAAGGGACGACGGCTCGTGTACGGGCTTTTATCAGAATAAACGTTGCTGTTGAATTCGACTGTCAATGTTTTGATTGGACTCTGCAAATTTTGGATGAATACGTCCAGGATGCTTTGATCAAGATTTAATGCAAGGGCCTTTCGAAAGGACCCGTGATTGATCACTGATGTTTCAGCTTCTGCGATGGTTCTGATCAAAAGTACGCCTACTTCGGAGTTTAAGCCTGGGCACTTGTCCATCAAGGTAGTCAGAATGAGATTCCAATCTTGCTGCTTCAAGCAATCGTCATCATTTTGGTAGGCCTTCAATAGTCTCAAGATGACTTGCGGTGGTGGCATCGTGTGATGTTCCTTCGATCCGAGACCGAGGGAAAGGCCTGGAATTCGTACGAGCTGATTGTCGGAAGCCCCAAAGGCCGCGACATGAAAAAGTGGGAGGCTTGGATTTCTTCCCAAGTTTGAGCCCTTTATGGTAAACGGCAGAGAATGCAGACCCGGATTCTGTTGCAGGATGCCAACCGCGGTCTCGATGTTGTGTAATGTCGTGTCTCTTCGCGTCGTGGGCTTTGCAAGGATGTGGAAGACCTTCCCAAGCTTCCGGCGGGCCTTTTGCTGGTCGCTCATTCTACCAGGCTGGGTGAATACGATAGGATTGTGATTATGGTTATTATGGTTGATTGTTTGGTTTGTGTTCAGTATTCGTGAGAGCTTGGACAATCTGTTGGGCGTGGGTCCACATTCTCCACGCTCTGGTTGCCGAGAGGAGCGTGGATCGAGGAGGGTGTTTCCAAAAATAAGTTTAGGCAAAATGGATAAAGTGTAAAATAACATAATTTATGCAAAATCTGACACCCAAAAAGAAAGCTGCATAGAAAGCCTTTCTTTGGGGTTTGATGCGAGAACAACTTGGTCACTCTCTGACGAACACTCGAGAAAAGCAGTTTGGAAGTTGTCGTGGTCACCACAATGCCCCCATGAACTCACAATCAGAGCAGCTATCAGAGCTCGAGTAGGAGAAACATGAGAAAGCGACCTGCCACAACGGATGCTCTTCGTCCACCAGAAGAGGCAGCAACCGGAGCTTTAGCAGAAGAAGAAGCGTCGCCGACTCTGGACCCGGTCACTCAAGATGTGGTCTCTTTGACACAGCAGGAACTGCATGGCCTCCCACCCGAAGAGAAGCAGCAGGTGATGGTAGACCTCTACGGCCTTGGTACCGTGGAAGAAGCTCCTGATCTTGTTGACGAGCGATTGGAGGAACTTCAAGTCATTTTGAGAAAGATCCCCGACAAGCGAAAAGTGGCATACAATAGGGCTCTTGCCTTGGATTCCCACTATGTTTCTTCCAGAGAGTTCCTGCTAATGTTTCTACGAGCTGATCGGTTCCATCCCACCCCAGCCGCTAACCGCCTCTTGGCCCATTTGGAGATCAAGCTAGAGTTGTTTGGACAAGATTTGTATCACACAAGATGACTTGGACCCAGAGTCACTTGATATCTTGTACAAAACTTGGTATGTTGACTTGCCTGTCCATGATCGAGCAGGACGTCATGTGTCCTTTGTCCATTCGTGCAAGGGTGCTGATTGTCATGACAGTCCAGTGATCCATCGCATGCGGGTTCTGTTCTATACGATGATAGTTGCTGCACAGGATATTCAAACACAAATCCATGGCAGAGTCCACGTAATTTGGGTGACAGCTGCTGGCTTGGGCCAGGCTGCGGATCTGTGGAAGATTGCAAGCATGCAATCTGCATCAGTTATTCGTCATCAAGGCATACACATGTGCATCGACCAAGAGAATGGACATGTTAGCGCTCCAATGGTAAGCTTGGCACAAATGGCCATGACAGCAGTTCTCAGAGTACGGGTACGCCGACACATGGGTAATCCGTCAGAGCTCAAGTTTGCCTTGATGACCTATGGGATCCCCACTGAGTCTCTTCCTGTTTCCCACAATGGAGAAATATCTCATGAATTGCATGTAGAGCGATTGAAACAAATTCGCAACGATGAAAGACTGGCAAAGCAGCATCAAGTAGCTCCGAAACAGCTGTCTGAATCACCCAGTTCTACAATTGGGTCACCTGGTGATGACGAGAACACAGCTCCATCTACCAAAGATGACAATGAGAAGGAGAAACCGGCTGCTCTTGTAGTGAAAGTTGTGGATGCTCCCTCCAACAGCGACATTCTCATGGGCAAAGGGAAAAACATCCAAAATCATGGTGGCAATATCCGCTTTCGAGCCCTGATTGACCAGCATCGACCAAGATATGATGAAGCCAACAAGACTCAAAAGACTCAAATTGCACAAGAGATCGTCCACATTGTCAAACATGGCTGGAAGGGGCGGTTCCTTATCAGAGAAAACAAGAAAGTGGGATGGATCCCGCTAGTGGATGACCTTGCGGCTCGGCAAAAAGTCAGCTCTTGCTTTCGAGATGCTCGAAAAAAGGAACTTACGCAATCACCAACGACAACACACGTCAATCAGATTCCAGCAGCTGTGGAAGATGAGCGTGGCGTGCGTGTTGTTGGAGCCATTGAGACGCCTCACAAAGCCAGTGGCGTGGCTGCGTTTGGGGACGACTATGGGAGCACAGAGCGGCAGCTACAAGAGGCTGCAGAACTCACAGCAGCCAACATCAATTTGTGCAACGAATTTGATGATCTGAGCTGCATCTCAGACAGTTCACTGCTGGACTCCATGATCAAAGAGTTTGACGATCCAATTTTGCAGCTTATTTCCGAGGTGCCATAGCCATCAAATCTAGCTAGAACAGAAGAATGCAAATAATGCAAAGCTGCCCCGGCAGTGGCAAGCCTAGTGATTTATACAGAGAGTAGACTAATGTCACACAACTTCGAAGGAGTTTCGAAGAATCTATGGATGGAACCCACTGCCCTACAGATGAGACAGTACCAGTACAGTAGCCAGCTCTGGGATGCTTTTGGGTCACATGGCAGACCAAGACTATTCGGACAGCGCGCAGACATGTTTTAATGTCAATCTGTGCCTGCTGCACTACCAAATAGAGTCAATGCTTTCATCGCGCTACTCCTCAGGAGATTCTTCGAGCAACTTACTTGTTGGGTGTCCAATATTGGTTGCCAAAACAAAAGACGATTGCAAAGCTACGGGCCATCCGGTGCAATGGACTAAATAAATGTACCGGCACTTGAATCCAAACAGTAGTCTAGAGTACGAGAGTATGATGTTTGTTTGAGTGCGATTGGCAGGAAGGCGCCGCAAAAAGCCAATGGAACGCACAGTTTCTCTTCAAATTTTAATTAAAGGTGGCGCTTCCAGAATGGGAACCGGCAGCTCTCCAGGGGGGTGCCTCAAATCAACCTCGTGTGTGTGATTATATCCCCAACCACCTGGAATGGGTAGACATGTTATGGCCAAAAGATGGTAAAAACTGGTCTAATGCGTTCCAGATTGGTAAGACAAATAAAAGCGGTGAAAAGCGGTGAACGAGCGGTAAACAGGCGGTAAAAAGGCGGCAAACAAGTGGTAAACCAGGCGGTTGAAGGCGGTTGGAGGCGGTCGAAAGTGATTAAAAACGGCTAAAGTTGGTTGAAGACGGAACGCTCGTCGCCAAACTGTCAGAGAGGTGGGGTAAGAAAAGAAGGGGCAAAACCAGTTGGTTTGAGGCACCCCCCAGAAACGGAAGCTGTAACGAACAGCAACGAAGATGTCCTCTCCTAACTTACGGTACAGTACTTCAATGACAATTTGGTGTTGGTGTACCGTAAACTGTTCCGAAGATCCTGGATCTTTGTTGCCCAGAAGCAGAGTGCGCCTTCCTTTGTTCATAAAACCTAAATCTACCGGTATCTTTGCAACACACTACAGCTTTGTCTCTATCAGTTTCCTCGGAAATGGCTCCCTCCACTATTCTTATCACCGGTTCCAACTGTACGCACAGTATATTCCATTGTCGAATGCAACTGCCATTTGCTGCCGTTGGATTCGGCGAATCTACCATACACATCTCACACTTCCTTTCGTTTCTTCTTTATTATAATAGCTGGCCTCGGTTTCGAATCCGCCCGTCAGTTTGCCGTGAAGGACTCCACGAAAAAGGTCATCTTGGCATGCCGCAATCCGGCGAGAGCCGAAGAAGCACAAAAGAAATTGGAAGAGCTTACTGGAAAGAAAATCTTTGAAGTTCTAATTATTGATGTGGGCAACTTGGAGTCTTGTCGCAAGGCTGCTGAGGATCTCAAGGAGCCCGTGGATGGAATTATTCTGGTAAGCTGCATATGGAATGGTGAGCCTTTTTTAAAATAAAAAACTCTCTTCTCCAACCCTTATTCTCCCATGTCATTTTTTAGAACGCCGGAGGCGCCGGTGGGAAAGAACCAAAGAAAGTCACGAAGGATGGTGTCATGTTCATCTTCTCAATCAACAACCTCGGTCATGTGCTCTTTGTGGATGAGCTTATGAAAAAAGGCAAGCTTCAAAAGGGCGGGTCAGTCATGTACGTCTCCAGTTTTGCCGCGAGGGGTGAATCCTCGGTGGGTGCTGCACCTCCCCCGATTGAGACGGGAGACTTGGAGGAATTCAAATCGGTAGCCGACGGCACCAAATTCGCCAACAATGATACCTACACGGACATTTACGGAGCCGTCAAACTCATGGGAGCTTTGTGGACCATGAGCATGGCTCGAAAGCATCCGGACTACCGTTTCCTGACTGTGGATCCAGGCATGGCGCGTGGTACACAAGGGGCGGCTGAAATGCCAGTGGTGCAGAGGTATTTTATGAGCGCTGTCATGGCAGTGATGCAGTGGATTGGCAAGGCACATTCCGTGGATGTAGGGGCCAAGCGTTACGTAGATGTTCTGTCGGACGAAACTACTTACAAGTCGGGTGTCTGGTATGGGAGCAAGAAGGGCCTGACGGGAGAGCTCGCCGACCAGGTGGAGCAATGTGCAATTCTTGGCAAAGAATCTGCTCAGGACGCTGCCGATGCCGCCACTCATGCATTTCTTTAGATGCTGGACTGCAGTGGATTCATTCTGATCAACGCTACAAAATTTTTGGTGCCTGTCGTTGGTTACTGTCTGGTCCCTTCTTCTTCTCTTTTGAATGTTTCTAAAGGACTTTGTCTCAATTGACGCCGCGCATTTCCTGTGTCAATTATATTTTCCACACGAACCTTTTCCACTTCTACTGGGCTGGCCCCGGTGGTCTCTGAGCCTGTCTTTTCCATGTATCAGTAATAGCAAGCAACTAGCCAATTTTTTGGTAAACATAGTTGTTGTGTAATATCCTATCGGTAGTGAGTATGGTACTTAGCAACAGGAATGGGTACTGCCACTGAATGCAGCACAGTTCCCTTACTGCCTAAAATCTGCCATTTGTCCTTACCACATAGCTCAGTGATGGCAAACGTAACCCGACCGCAATGAACCTGCTACTGCCGGTCGTATTCGCAATGAACAAGTCTCACCTTACATGAATGAATGATTCAATGGCCTAACATAAATAATAACCGCACCTGTCAGCAGTGGAGTGGAGTCACCTGCTACATCATCTGCCTTGAAACTCATCTATCTACATGAAGACTCAAGCATCAGTAATTATTGAACATCCCACACCAAAAAAAGCACGCTCCCGTATCCTGTTTACAGCTCTACCGCGGTACCACCAGCAGTACTACATGTAGTACCTGGTACCATACATGTATGTAATGAAGAATCGAATTGGGTCGAGTCGAGTCGAATCTAGAAACGTCACTCTAGAAGCACACCTGCCACATAGACCTTGTTCAACCTCCAACCGACTTCCCAAAGTCACCACACACCAAACTAAGCCTCACTCAGCCATCAAAAGGGACGAAAGAACCATACCATTACCAGCACATGTACTGTAGAGCGAGGAAGGATGTCACTGGGATCTATGAATGTTTTCATTCCTCCTATGAGTGTTATCTTCTTCTTGTTGCTGCTGCTGTGCTGTTGTCATGACAGAACTCTCGCTGCTTCGGTTCGCTACCGCCAAGGCCGCTTGAATTCCCACAAGAACGGTGACGAACAACAAGATCTGTTGGCAGTCAAGGACAACCTGAGTGTGGCAGCTGCCCGTCAATACTGTCACGACGAAACTGACTGTGTTTCCTTTGGATATGAATCTTCCACCACACGGTTTCCTGCCATTACCATCCGGGCGTTCTTTTATCGTCATGCGGATTGGCATGTCTTGCCCACGGGACAAGGCGCCTTTGTAGAAGATCCGGCGTGGCATCTCTACGTGAATACCACTCGAGAAGTGGCTGCCGTCCCAGGAGAAGTGGAAACTGTTCTCAGTCAACTGGAACGAGTGGGAAACTCTTGTCCAACCCGTCCTGCTGAGGATACTACTCAGAAGAAAAAGGATGAGTCAGTAAGAGATTCTTCCAAGAATCAAAGAAGGCTACGGTCTTCCAGCAGTACCAGCAACAGTGAAGATTCTAGAAGGGCTGTTGAGGATGCAGCAATACAAAGACAACGACAACTATTAGAACCTCCCCTGTGTGTTCAACAACAAGTCATGCTCTTGGATGCCATTTTTCACATTGTATACCCCAAAGAAATCAAAACGGTGGCAGCTCCTTATTTGATTCCACAAATGCTAAAGCTCTCGGCCAATGCATCCTTGTACAGAGATATTCGATTGGCGGCTCTGACCAATCTCTTGGTCATTGCGGATTCCCAAGTCACAGCTCCCATGCTGGTAGATGCAGGCGTCTACGAAGTCATGAAGACCATCATTACGAGGGAACGACGGGGCGACGATTGGGAGGGATTGCCCATTCTGGCATTGGATTGCATCTCCAACATTGTCATGTATCGTCATCCACAAGCCAATGCACAACTCCGGAAAAAGGGTGCAACCCTGCTATTACAACAAGTCATGGATAAATCCACTGGATTTCCAGCCTTGCAGTCGGTCTTGGCGCTGCTCCATCTGGGCAGTGCGGACAGTCACAATTTACCCAAAGAGATTCTGGTCGAATTGGTCCAACTATTGGCCAACTCGATTGATGGGGATGTCGTCTATGGGATTTTGTGGGATTTGATACCCGGGCCCTTGAGTGCCATTCAGCTGTTGATCCAGCAAGAACAACAACAACAACAACAACAACAAACTACTACAGCACTCACCAATAAGCAGGACGATGCTGATACCAACATTAGTATGATGGACCATTTGTTGGATGCAGGATTGGTCGAACAGCTGTTACGGATACTGGAAGTCAAGAGCAGCACGTGTGGGTTGGTGGCATCGCATACGCAGGTAGCATTGGAGATTCTGGATGGAATTGCTCACTTGTCCCAGCGAGCACGAGAAATGATCTGGATGACTGCCGGAACTATCAAGCAAGCACATCAGCAGCTGCAGGAGTACCAGCGACCTGCCATGTTGGCCAAGGAACTCACAACGGTGGTCTCGAGGCATGATTACTTTCAAGGCTTTCGAGCGCATGAATTGTAGTAGTAAAGGGAAGAATCATCTAAACATTGGTTCAGAACTGCTCCAGACAAACTCCATTCCAAAGAGATCGCTACTGCTAATATCGCTACGGATCCATTCAACCGAACTGCATAAATAAAAATAAAAATATATTGCTAATACTTTTAGATCACCACGGACACTTCAGTCAATGGTTCCCAGCATCAGGACAACGCCAAAATCTAGCTATTTGTGGCGCGAAAACTCAAACACACAACAAGGCGGATGGCGACGATTCGGCTTCAACCGTCACCATCTCACCCATAATCCAGCGGAGACATTCGTTTTCTCCAAGACGACTCGACTCTTCACCCATCCTAGTCGTTCTCTTTATACGCTGCTTCGCTGAATAAAATAAGCGTTTAGGGGAAGGTCATTCCAGGCCTCATGCAAGACTTGTTGTCGAGGTATCCGGAGAAAGCCTCGGGCTTCATTCCAGTGATCTTTTCCACGTCCTTGGTGTAGGATGCGGACAATTCATCGATACCCGAAGCCTTCATTCGTTCAAAGGCGGCGGCATCCTTGACTTGCCATTCGGGCAGTCCACGACTGCGGACATTGGCCTTGTAAGCGTGGTATCCCAACTCGACGTGTTCAATAGTGGTTCCGTAATGCTTGGTGAGCAACTTGGCCACGGAAGCATCGGTAATGGGACCAGGTCCCGTCAAGTTGTAGACCTTGTTGCGGTGAGGCTTATTGTTGAGAACGACACAGACCGACGCATCGGCAACGTCATTGGGGGAGACGTAGTTGACACCCATTCCGTAGGAAGCAGTAATGAACTTGTGATCCTCTCGCAGGATTTTTCCCTGCATAATGAGGGGAGTGGACATTAAGTGACTGCAACACAGGATGGTGTAACTGATACGACTGTCGTTCTTGGCAGCTTCCAACAAATCATCACAAGTTCCGTGAAAGTTGACAAAGGGGACGGATTCACGGTATTGACGAGCCGCCGCCGAAATACCCTTCCAGTCATGTGTGGGACGGAGGAAGGAGATCTTGACAAAGTGTTCCACCTTTTTCTTTTTGCAAATTCGAAGGAACGAGGGAAAGACATCACTCCAGCCCTCCACGTGAGGCAAGGAGCAGAACACTGTCTTGACTCCATCCAGTGCTCTTTCGTAGTCTGTTGTTACACACACAAAACAAGTGAGCAATAGTGTGAGTGACTTACAGTAGGCCGACTTCAACATGCCTTTGGTATAAGTTTATTAAGTGGTACTCACCATCCTCATTGGTCCAGTCAAAGTCAATGACTTCAGCTCCCTTGGCAGCCAAAGCATCGGCACACTGCTGGCCAAAGCTCTTGTCCATGCCTTCACGGTCTCCCTTCCAGACTCCTACACGAACATCCTTGTGTCCAGCCTCCAAAAGAGAGGTAGCCACACGGTATCCAACCACACCACTTCCAGAAGTGATAAAGACAGTGCCGACCTTGGCATCATACGTGAAGTGGCCTAAACCTGGAATCACATCGGCCAAAGCCTTTCCGGTTGCTTTCATGAAACTCATCTTGGTTGTATGGTATGTATAGATAGTTCTTGGTTTTTATGGATCGTCGACTGACTTTCGAAATTATTGTGCCTTCCTTCCTTCCTTCCTTCAAGACATCGATCTGTTCCTCATCTTTTTGGTGAGTTGTTTGCTTTGCGTCGTCAGGTTGTTGTCACCAAGAACGTCAGCAGCAGCATTCCGGCAAAACTTCAATCTGGAACGTCACAGAACGAGCCAGCATGGTATCCTCAGACTGTCGTCGGTATGGCGTTGTCCTCTCCTGAGAGATAGGAAGCCTAAACTATCAGTTTGTTTCATAGATTTGTTGGGCCAAGTCTTTGCTTGGGAGTTGACTTCTCTTTTGGTCACATAGATGCGATGTGGCGGAAATGGAGAAGGCAAATAGGGGCTTTTCGATGACGTGGGGTGTGACAAGAGATGACTTAATTAATAGGCCTCACTTCGTCAGGGTTCTTCCGAGTGACAGTGAGATTTGGTTTGACATTGCTTTTTTCTTTTTCTAGTAAAGAGGGTTTCGAGCCGCTTCGTTGGCTTTGCGCTTGCACCAACTTGTGCAAAACGAAGGCTTGGCTTTCATCGTCAGATTCTTTGACAGTCCTTTCTAGCTAGTTTCGGTAGACAGCCCTCTTTCTCTTGCTACACGTAGTCTACTACTGTAGAAGGGCTACTAGTAAATATTGCTGGAGTTGGAAAGAAGTCTGCATGGTGCAGTTACCGAACAAGTTACTCTATGATCAACTAGCTCCCCTGTCCTCTTGAAATATAGAATGCTGGGGAAGTACGCAAACAACCCATCTTCACTACAGCTGGCTGAGGGTATCCAACCCCATCGAAATCCCATCATTCTAACGATAGTGCCTTGTTCCAAACTGTACGAACCGAGTTGGCTCGGATTGATGAGATCCTAGCTAGCCGATGATCAGACGGTGATGATCCAATCGAGGAACCAACTTGGTACCGGTACTGTAGCTTGTCAAGTCAGAAACCTTGACCCCGTCCACAAAGGAAGACAGTGTCGTATTAATAGTGCCTTGGCGACGATGAACTACAACCGCAATGGCTATTTGGTAGCTAGTTCACAACCAACTTTCGATGCGGGAGGACCGGGGCCACGCACCGTGGAATACCGGTAGCACGAGGCTAGCGTGGAAACCAGTGTGACATACAAAATCCAACAATCGGCCTAAGTAACCTTCAACGTTCGTTAAGTATTCGCCTTTGTGCGCGTCAACGGGCGGCAGTGTAACAGTCACCCGGAACCGCCCAATCGAGTGCTCACAATTCTTTCACAATTCAAGCAAAATACCAACTCGTCAAGCAACTGAATAAAGAAAAAGCATTGACCATGATGTTGACATTCCAAAGGCTACAAGCAGCAATCGTTATGTTGATGGTTGTATCAGTATCCTCAAAACAAGAAAGAATATACAGCACGCTACGAAGTGTCGGTAATGTAAGTTCCTGTATTGCTGAGCTGCTGAGATGTCGGTGCTTGCTGTTGATAGCTTGATTTTCAACCTTCTCACTTTTACATTTTGCATTAATCTCTACAGGATGGAACAACTGAACGAGACCTTCAGCAACTTCCGCCTTCCAGTGAGCTGTGGTGTTCATTCCTCAACCTCTGCGCGACACTGGAAGATCTCCCACAGATTACCTCTGTGCCAGCTGCTCCAGCGGCACCCGCGCCAAGCCCATCGACTGCCGACGCCATGTGCCAGTTTCTATCACTCTGTCCACCAACTCAAGCACCCTCAGTCCTTACTCCAGTCATCACTCAAGCTCCATCAGTCCTTACTCCTGTCGTCACTCAAGCACCGTCAGTCCTAACTCCTGTCGTTACTCCCGTACCAGCTCCACAGCCAACTACCTCGTCTCAGGGAGTCGGGACCATGGCACCCACTTCAATTACCGACACTGTGACTCTGCTTGACCTCTGCGTCTTGCTTGGGTTGTGCGTCTATACACCAGCGCCAGTGCCTTCACCCACTACAACGACACTGACAACGCCACGCCCAACCCTAGCGACGCCTGCCCCAACGGATGCCATGGAAGTAGCCACAACGGCGGGGCCTACATTCCGACCACCACCCCAAAACCTTTGTGAAATGGCCGGTGACTGTGGACCCACTCCAGCAGAGCAACCCACTGGTGCACCATCCTACCCAACACCACCACAATACGATGCCATTTGCGAATTCTTGGGAAATTGTCCTCCTTCTTCCGGTGCCTCGTCGAATCAACAAGAACCACAGCCGACACCGAATGCGCCACCCCCCACCGTTGCACCCCTTACTCCAAGGCCAACATCTGCCAGTACGTCTGGTACCAATGCAGGCACGTCAACTTTGGAAAGCAATGTAGCATTGGACTTTTTGTGTAATTTCCTGGGACTCTGTGATATCGATCTAGGCCAGCTCGGCGCCGGAGGAGGTGGCACCATTTCCACCGCAACTTCACCGCCGACACCCGCTACTCCCAACCCGACACCGGCACCCACTAGGCCTACCTTGCTATGCATCCTGACCACCATTTGTTGAGCAATAGCTTTCGCTGGATAATACCGCCTCGGAGAATCAAGGGCAAAACAAGAGGTCGGTATCGAAATTCAATCTAGGGACTCGACTCAAGTGTCCACCGGGAAGCCCGCGGGCTTCATGTACAATAAACATAGGTAGCAGCTGGCCATTACAGTTCTGAAAATCACAACTCGACATACGTAGTATCATCGGTAGCAGCTGGCCTCACAATTCTAAAATACTGTAGCTAGGCGATTACATGTAATGCATTGTGTGTACTTGAGCTTTTGCAGGTTTCTTCCTCATAGCAACTAACCAGAGCATTGACAGCCACATCCGCACAAAGTTTCAGAGCAGTCAAAGCCTATCGACGACGAATTGAGCAAATTGCTCACAGGTGCACGGAGCAAACGTGCATGCCGTTCCTTGCCAGGAGCGTAACAAAGTTCATCCGGGATAGTTCCATGTAATTTGGCGTTTCCTGAGACATTGAAAGTCGAGATGGAGGAAAGCATTGAGAACTCGCTGGGAACCGTTCCGCTAATGTCGTTGTTGGCCACGTTGAAGTTTTGTAGCCCTGTCAAATTGCCTAGTTCGGTTGGCAGAGTTCCAATCAATAGATTGTCTTGCAGACCAATGCCCTGGAGGGCCGTCATACCTCCAAGTTCACTTGGGATTTGTGCCGCCAATGAATTACTCCCTGCCTGGAAGGAGTACATGTTGGTCAAGAGACCCAGCTCTGTAGGCAAAGACGACGAAAGCTGATTGTCACACAGTACCAGTTCCTTCATCTTTGTTGAAAGCAAACCAAAAGTCGACGGAACTTCCCCCGTGAGAGAACCCCCGTTCAAGTGGAGCCATGCCAAATTGCTCAACAGTCCCATCTCAGATGGCAGCGTACCCGATAGACTCGTGTCGAAGGCATATACATATGTCAGCGACGACAGCCTGCCGTACTCTGTCGGAATGGTACCATGGATGCCCTGCAGCTCGTTGAGCCCCAGAACTGTCAGATGACTCAGCTCGCCGAGTCCATTTGGAAGACTTCCAGTGAAGAAATTTCTGTGGAGCGTGAGCTGATTAAGAGTGTTTCGAAGCTTTGCAATCTGCAGGGCGGGAATGGTTCCCGTCATGAGGTTAGAGCCAACTGAAGAGAACGTCGGGAGGTCACGTGTTAGAAACCGCTTTTTTGATTCACACATGCCATGTGGCATTATACTCACAATAGAGAATCTCCAGGCTTGAAAGCATGCCTATTCCTGTGGGGATTGGCCCTGGTGGGATTTCAATAACAAGGTTATCGTGAGAAATGGGATTGCAATAATAAGGTTATCGTGAGAAATGGGCGTACGGAGCAGCGTAAAGTCAACAACGCACACCCAGTACAACTCCCGTGGTTACCTGTCAGTTGATTCGCTGCAAAGGACAGGTGTCGCAGATTCATTAACTTTGCGACACGTTCCGAATCAACGGTGCCGCTTAAACTGTTCAATCCCAAGTCAATGCTCTCCATGGATGTTAGCCAGTAAAACTCCTTGGGTAGTGTTCCGGTCAAATTGTTTCGAAGTAGCCAGAGAAGTTTGTAGGACTCATCATCCTCGTATTCGTCTCCTTCATCGCTTGCTCCTATTTCCTCATCGAGACTCTCACAGGGAGATCTGGCAGTTTCCAGGAGCCCAAACATCTTGAACTGCTCTGCGAAGTGCCATTCGCACTCGTGCACTTCGTATGACAGCCAATGGTTCCGCTGAATCCAAGCGGTAGGTCCTCCTGTCGCATGGAAGAAGGCGCCCAACGCAAATCGTTGTCGTAAACGAGCTTCCGTGTAGTTGGTCAAGGCAGGATCCTCATAGAGCCATTGGAATGCTTGAAACTGGGGAGACGTGGTATCATTCAAATCACGGAGTGTTTCTTCGGGCAGATACTGTTTGAGGTAGTCTTGGGGGGTCAGCGGTTGCTGCTCCAGGGTCGTGTTGCTGGAAGAGGCATCGTCCAGAGGCATCGTTAAGAGCACCTCTTTTTCGAATGCACCACCCCACCAGGCAATCAAGACGCTCAAGGCAGCTGCCAAGACAAGCACGAGAACCAACAGCAATGCTTTCTTGACAACAGAGGCATTGCGGTCTTCTTGCATTCGTCGCCGCTTACGTTCTTGTCTTGATTGCTGGTGCTCTTCCTCAGGGCGGACCGCATCTTGAATGGGCACGTCGTTATCGGATACAGGTGTAGCTTCGACAAGACCGGCGTTATCGTCGTTTCGAGGAGGATGAGAGGTCGATTGAAGGAGACCGAGGGAAGGAAGGGGAGATAGAGAAATAGAAGGAATAGTCGGTCGATAATGGGTGGATAAACGTTGTACGGGTGTACTGCCCCGTCTGCCTCCGTGAGCAAAGGCCCCGGGAAGACTACCGATACCCGTCCCAGTGGTGCGAAAAGTCGTGGTAGTGCATAGACTCGGAGACGGTTCAACAGTTCTATCGTCCTGAGCTTGATGTTGATCGTCTTCGAGATCAAGCAACATATGTCCCAGCGACTGATTTTCCTCATCGTGGTCCATTCCCCGTTGGGCCAAAAAGCCCTGGCCCACTTCAGCTGCTGTCAAGCCACCTGCCTTTGCTTCCATCAGTCTCAGATACCCTTCAAGATCTTTATTGTCGGTATCTGAGCAGTTTGTGCCCCCCATAGGACCGCCAGCCATTCGGAGATACCCCTCAAAGTCTTTCCCAGCGGTAGCATCCGTCCTACGTGCATTAGGATTCTCATCAGACTTTCTCATATACCCTTCATAGTCCTTTCCTTTTTCCTCATCTTCAGCACTACTAGACCTAGGTATCTGAGGCTTGCTGTGGAAACCGGAGCCCGCTGCTCCTTGAGTGCTCACTTTACATGTATCCTCAGAGTATGATGCGGGAGTGCCACAGCTAGAGCTGGAGGCTTTCGCCGTGGGAGATATGGGAGTTCCATCGTGATGCAGAGAAGGCGAGGCAGCTGCTTCCAACGAGTCCATCTGATCCGCAGCTGGTCGACGACCACCTTCGCCTTCACTAGTAGAAACAACACAAGGGTGCTCTCCCCTTGACGAAGCAGAGCTATTGGTCAGAGTTGATGCTTCCGCTGCCGGTTTCATCTTGATGTTGTTGGGAAAACACAATGATGTAGTACTTTCCTCCCTTCCTGAAAATAAATAAACAGGCAAGTTCTGGCTACTGTAGCTAGCTAGCTAGCGTGATGCAGCTCACGCTATTAATACATTTTAAAATACCAGTATCTACCGTCCTGTAACAGACGCTTGCACTGCCCGCAAACGGCTTGTTAATTTTTTTTTGTCAGTCAGTCATCCTGTCGCACATGTTCGTGAGGAGAAAAATGGGTTAGAGAGTGCTTACTCCAGAAGTAAAGAAGAAGCAGCGACCAACGCTTAAATTTCTTCCTGTTTCTCAGCCTTTCGTCACTCTTGTCATCACGCTGACTTTATGGGGGGGTTAGGCATGAGCGCGGGGGAGGGAAAAAGAAGAAGAAGAGGGAGAGGGTTAACCTTTGGATTCCTGATTCCCGTTTGAGAGCCTGCAGGGCAAAGATCGAGTCATTGTGAGAGCATGTATAACGTTGAGAGAGGGGAAACGGCAATGACTCCAACACTCCCATAACTCTTCTCCCCTAAGACATCCGAAGAACAAGAAAATACGCCAGGAAGTACACGTGTACGGTTGCTGAATCACTTGAACCACAGAATTCAAATCCCATCAACCGATACTTTTTCCCAATCCTTCGCTCGCACCACACCCTCCCAGCCATAATTCAAAAACTTCGAAGACCACAAGGTAAGAATGCTGCTGCTGCTGTTGTTGTTGTTGTCCGTGTCGGTGTTGTTGTTGTTGTTGTTTTTATCCACAATGGCGACAATGGCATGCTACTAATCCTTCTATCCTTGCTTCCACTACCGACGCTCCTTCCTCTACCGACACTCCGGACACTCCGCTCCTTCCTCTACGGCCGACGCTCATTCCTCTACCGACGCTCCGCTCCTTCCTCTAGCGACGATCGAAACAACAAGGCGACAACTGGACAAGTCGACAATGAGGATTGCAACTACTTCTTCTGCCTTCTCCAAGTGGCTGCAAAGTGTCAACAGATACCCATTGAATGAGCTGAGGGCAACAAGGAATGGATTCACCTGCAAGTATGTCATTTGTGGGTACAACAGCGACGAGGAGGACAACTTCTGTTTGCCCACAACAAGCATGGAAGTGACAGTTCTTGAGGAGTTGATATTGCAAGGAGCAGGCAAGCCTCTTCCTCCTGATATGACAGGCATCATGGACTACATGTTTGAATGGGGATGCCAGGATAGTCCACAATGGTACCGTGCTGTTGTTGCTACCCTTTCTGAAATGCTGGAGGGTCCACATCCCTGTGAAAGAAAGGACATCTTTATGGAGTGCATCTATTGGTTAGCAAAGGATAGGATCACTGAGGAGTATGACTTGTCCTCCATTGAAGGCCAAATTTGCATGGATGCTTGGCATGGGTATTGCATCCAGTGGTACCAACCCAAATTTTCCTTCAAGGAATTTTGTATGATGAATCATGAGTTTGTGATGTTGTGCATGGAAGACCTTCAGTATCATGGAGGCCTGAGACCCCAGTTGGCTATGTTTATTGATGGCAACAACCAACAAGGACTTTGAATGTAAGTTACTAATGGCTACATAAGAAATGAAATTGATGTACTTAATATTATCTGTTTGTTACTGCCCATACCCAGTCAATCTTGATTGGCAATTAGGATCATGTGGTGGTCTTCCTCTCCTATGAGTCAACCACTGGCAGTATCTTTGACAGCAGCCATTCGGTGGAAGTGGCTGGAAAGGAGCTGGCAGTATTGGTTGGAATTGCTGCTGCATTTGTAAGTGGAGTCGCATCATTTGAATCTGTTGTTGTTGCTGGTATAGAATCAAATTACCAACATAAGCATTTCTTGTTTGTACTACAGGAGGTGCTTGTGGTGGTGGAGGTTGTGGATTGGGTGGAAGTTGTGGTTGTGGTGGTGGACCTGCCACTGGACTGGTGCAGAATCTACACAAGCAACAATCATTTGGTGCATACTTCTGCCGGTGTGGTTTGAATCCAACAATGAACTCTGAAAAGAACCTCTCTCCATTATCCTGTGGCAGTGGCTCTGCAGTAGGAAATGGTTTGTCTAGACCAGCAGCCTCTGCCATTTCATTTAGGTAAGCCAACTCTGAATGGTTCCAGTATGGAACAACCTTCTCCCATCCAGCTGGAATTGACCTCCTCTCTGCCTCGCTGATTCTTGACAGGAAGGCTCTCTTGTGGCGAATCTTGAGGTTGTATCTAGCAGTGCCAGCAAGATTGAGTGCATCAGCAAGGGTTCTTCTCATTCCACCATTGCCAAAGTGAGCAAACTTGTCATGGAAAGCCTCTAACTTTGACTCTCCTCTCCTTGATAGGTACTCTGGAAGCTTGTGCTTGGAGTTGGGAGATGGCAGGATCGTGTCATACATATCTTCCAGCGCGAGTGGATCAGCCAAGTGACTGGCTTTGTCAACACAGTTTTCTACTGCCGGTTTGGTGTCTTGAGTAAACAAGGTATAGTTCTTGGTTGGATCCAGCCGGCCCTGTCCTGGCTGGCTACCATCACTGGCTGTTACCTTGTACCTGCAGAACCACTGCTGCAACCTCTGTCTCATGGTCTCTGGTTCTCTCATCTTCTTCCTTAGATACTTGGAGTACCTAGCTCTGAAGACCTTGGAGGCTTGCATATCGGAGATCTCAGCCATGGAGTAGTGCTTGCCATTGGTAGACAAGAGGCCATGTTTCAAAGCATGGATGACCTTCTCATAGTCATCTGGTGAGTACTCATAGAGGCAATCCAAGAGGTCTCCCATTGCTTGAAAGTAATCAATGTGACCCTTCCTCAAAGTTGACAGAATCCTTTTCTCATAATGGAACAGGCCAAGTCTTCCCTCGATACCTGGAAAGAGCAGCTCCCAATAGTCATCCTTGTGGGGCCAGGTGTCGCTGTACATGGCAGCTGGATTGAAGTTGCTCCTCCTTGCTAGCTGCATGGCAGCATGGGAGAAGTGGATTGTCTTGGTGGTGGGAACAAGAACAGCACATGCAATCTCACCAGTCTCTGTGGCAGCATCCCAAACAGCAGCAGCACCAAGACTCTTGGAGTAGTTCTTGACAACCTGGAAGGTATGGTCTTGGCAGAAGATTCCTTGGTTGCAACTGACACTTTGGATCTCTCTTGTGTGCCTTTGGTTGTCACTGATCCTCCATGGATTCCTGTTTGAAGCACAGGCAGCATCATAGATGTCACGGATGGTGTCACCAAGAGGAGGAAACTGTCTGATGTAAGTGCCATCCTTTTGAAGAAAGGGATCTGGATCAGTGTCGCTTCCTTGCCAGTATGAGAAGTATGACGCCATGGACCTAATGAACTCTCTGTTGATTGCATTGTAGATGAGGCGGCTGCAAAGGTCTCCATTTCCATAGGTTAATATGATAGAATCGAATACTTCTGTTGCTGTTCGCTCCAAATGACAAGCCTTGTTAGGTAGAGCATACTTGGACTCCACTGGATAGAGCAATGAAGCATGGTCTGGGATCGAGACCAGCACTTCTGCAGAGTTGGCATCGAATCTTCTGTTGCAGCTTCCACAAACCATGGACATGACTATACACCAAGAAGGAGGACCAGTGATGCCAAAGATAGGGAACAAGGTCTTGTTCTTGGACCAGTTGTGCCTCGCATTCTTGAGTTGGCCAGAGCATCTTCCATCGGGACAAGGTACAGTAATTCCACATCGATTCCAGTCCACAAGGAGGAGTTTCTGGCCAACAATGGAGTGGTAGTGTGGAGATTTGAATTGCTCCTCTGTGGAGGGAACTGTCATGGTGAGTCCTTGGAAGTGTTGTCTGAATAGCTCCTGATTCTTAGGCCGAATAATGGATTCTGACACTACTTGTGCCATTGCTAGCATTGCCAGTGGTGCTCCTTTGGTCTTGTGTTGTTCCACAAAGACAGTATCGTTTACAAGAGTGGTGACCTTTTGACAAAGAGCCATTGGAGTTGTGTTGGTTGTGGATGTCTTCTGTTGCCGGCTCTGCTTTGGTTTGGCTGTGTTTGTTCTAGCAGCAAAGAAGGCTTCCCCGTTCTCTCTTGTTGAGTGCTTCCAGCTTCCTCTCTCATTCAGTGGAAGAGGAGCACTGAAGTGCCTTGTAAGTCTTCTGCTCTCTCTGAGGGTTTCCATTGTCAGCTCATTCAAATCTCCTCTTCCTCTTGTTACTGTATTCTTAATACAGAGAACGTGGTGTGATCTTTTTGGGACTCTGAAACCAAGATGTCTGGCCTTACAGATGACACACTCCTTGAGTGGATCAAAGACTTCTGCTACCTCTCCTCCCAGCGCTGTTTGGGGTCCTTCTTCTCTGGCTCTCTTCGATCTGTTGTTGTTGGAGGCGAGTTGATATGCTCTCTTCTGTTGCGAGTTCCTCTGTTGACTTTGGCAGCCCATTCCTCCATTGTGAGTGGTAGCTGCTGGTGCTGCTGTTGTTGCTGCTGCTGTTGCTGCTGTTGCTGCTGTTCCGGTCATGATGGTGCTGCTTTTGGCTGAGATAATGACTTTCGGTGAGCGGCAGAATGTCATTGTCGACAACAACAACAGAGGAATCCTTCTTTCGGTTTTCGCGAAACACGAAATTTCGAACTAGGTAGCACAGTTTCCCTGTAAATACTTATAATTGGTACGTTATGTAAAGCTGATGTATTTGCTGACGTATTAGCTTGACTAGCCAATCACATTACTGCCTTCTACCGCTTTCGCCCTTACGCTGCTGCGGTGTTTTGGCTGTAAAAAACCAAAATATGTCCCTTTAACGAGAGTTTCAATACGTGCTCTACACAATAATAAAGCAACTGCCATTATTAAATATTTCGGTACAGCTTTCGGTACCCAATACAGCTCCCGCCAATCTCCCAATACAATACTCTTACGCAGCGGCATTACAGTAGCCAATGCACTTCTCCCTCAGATACAAGACACTACCAGGGACGGCGAACTTGAATGCAGAACTCAGTGGAATCCTAGTTTTTCCAGCAGATCAACACTCAACAGTACCGTGTCTTTTAAAAGGAATCACTGGATCCAAGAGTTCCAATAGTCTAGTATCTTGTGAATTTGATCCATAACTTGACTCATATTAGTGGATGTCATGACAGCTTTGCCTGGTGCATGCCCCTCTTGTCCAAAACTCTGTTGTACGAGACTACTGGAAATAATCTTTATCCCTGCCAGAGGAAGAAAACACTTGGCTATTCAGCCAGAGCATGCTCTAATACATTTTGATGCCCATTGACACTCACTACTCGTCAGTATCTTACTCAAGTGATAATCTGAGTGTCAAACTAGAGTATCTTTTACATCTTCACCTCCAATCCAAGCACTCGATATCGTTTGGCGCGTATC